TGCTACCTGTTCTTCTGTCCACAGCACGCCAAATATCGACCGCCTGGCGAGTGAGGGCGTGAGGCTGTCCCAACACCTGGCCGCTGCTTCCATGTGTACCCCAAGCCGGGCTGCCTTTCTGACCGGCCGGTATCCCATCAGATTAGGTGATGCCAAAGAAATACAAAACAACAGTTTTTCTCCCCAGCATACTTGCTAATGATATGTTTTTGTAACTCTTTATAAGAAGTCTCAAAAGGTTACTCAGAGTATTAGGAATATATATTCAGAGGGGGTTGTGTTGCTACACCTGGACAGCATGAACAGGTGTGCCTCTCAGCATGTGCTGCTCCACCTGCTACCTAGGTGCACATAGTAACAGGGGTTGGGTCTCTTGGGAGCAATTTCCCAGCTACTGTGGACACTCCCACCTCCAGGTACTTATGGTAAGATCCTTTAAGAGACCCCTGAACTCTTTTTTTTTTGAGACAGGGTCTTGCTCTGTTGCCCAGGCTGAAGAGCAGTGGTGAAATCATAGCTCACTACAGCCTCTAACCCCTCAGCTCAAACGATCCTCCTGCCTCGGCCTCCCAGAGTGCTAGGATTACAGGCATGAGCCACCGCGCCTGGTCCCCCCAAAGTCTTAATACTAGCGGAGACCACACAGTAGTTCTAAGATAAGTGGGTCTAATGAATTTCTGACGATGAGATTGGAAAAGTAGAAGGTGGAATTGGGAAGAAAGTATGACTATGAAAATGAAAAGGAAATGAGAGTGGTACATACTTCTTTACCCTCCACCCCTCCACATGCAATGTCAACATTTAGACTTAATGAGTTGAGTTTAATCACCACAGTTTAATATTTTCCTCCGTAGCTTAGCTTAGAAACAACACAATGAACATCGAGTTTTATACCCAGCTAAAATGCAATGATGTGCTTAGGCTGTGTTGAAATATTCTAGATTACCAGTCTCTGTGTGAAATTGCCCTGACTGCTGTGTTTTGTTTAATTCTAGTATCTGCTTGTCATCATTTTAGTATATCCACTGTTACAGTTTATTTTTCAGTGAAAAAAATTTTTTTTCTATGAGTTTTCTTCCTTCTAAATGGCAGCTTCTCATT